ATGCTTGTCATGATGAGTTTCTTGGAGGCCAAGGGGGAGGCAACGTCAGCTTGAGCCCTAGATGGGAGGTTGTCGCGGATGTACTCGGACACGTTATCAGGAAGCTTTTGTGAGATGCTGTCCAGAGCAAGCGGATCAGCATCGGCCTTGTCAATGCTTGAAGTCACCTCCCTCGGAGCTTCTTCATCATCTGACTGGTTGTCGGGGTTGCCGTGCTCATGGGGTTGCACGATCTTTTTAGTTCGGGTTTCGACTTGACGCTGAGGTTGACTTGGCTTTCTCGACTGGAGGAGAACATACGGAAGTTCCGGTGCCCAGACGCTTAGAGGCAGGGGTGGGAGCTTTGTCGAATCGTCGGGAGGCTTTCTGTTTATCAGCTGCTCATCTGTTCGTCGAGTCAATCGTGATGTGTATTTGTTTTCTTAGCCTCCGCATCATGTCCGATTCCCGGACGGTCTTGAGCTGGGTCCAGGGTGGATCTAGATTGACTTGCCGGTCGGTCGAACGGGTTGCCTTGGCGCGCCTTTGCGATGCTGTCTGTGAGTTACGGGACGCGTGGAGACGACGGTTTGGTGTTTACTCTCAACTAAGTCATGTGGCCGCTGACCAGAATGAGGAGGCCGATGCTCTGAGCCGATTGGGTGTCCGCTGGCGAATCATAAAAGAAATCCTGCTTGACGGTCGTGAGGCTGTAGTCGACGACTGTGAGTCTGATGATGATGGCAAGACCTGATCAGGTCGACGGGCGGCTTGCAATAATCCTGGATGCTGATATCGGGAGCCCCTCAGCAGAAGCGAGTGTTGCTCCTGGTAAGCCCGCCCGGAAGAAACTACTCAATATGCAACGGCAATCTCCGTCAGCTCGATTTATCTTACAGTGTTCTAACCCTCCTGGTGAGACTGGGGGTACCCTACTTTATGTCCATGGTCCATGCCTTGGCTCGGGAGCTCTCCGACTTCTTTGTTGCGGATGATGGTGTATGGCTGAAGCGCGTAACCACTGCCCGCCTGAACGGCATTCAGGCTCACCGGCTTTGCTACTTCATTTCGGCGGATACGTCCGAAAGGAAGGGCTTTGCGGAGCACGTAGTCTCCCAATATCATGATAAAGCTGGATGTCTTAATGCTCGATATCTAAGATGGCTGATTACTCGTACTTGCTATTACCCTAATGCACGACACCTGGTCAACGACCTGAGCAAGAGTCGCAACAAATGCCAACGGGCGCTTAGTCGACCTTACTATTCACTACTGACGCGTCGTTCTTCAAATGAAGAGCTCGATCAGTATGGCAGACATTAGCATTGATTTGGCAAAGATGGGGTC